TGTTTAAGATCTACCAAGTTCTTGTTCACTATTTTTTAAAGTTTTTTTCTGTCTCATCTTACCACATTTCTTGTTTAATTTCCACATACTGTAAAGCAGGAACTTGAGCCCACCACCTGGAGGGGGAAATAGTATCAGCAGTCACCTAACCCAATGGGCTTATACCCTAAGATGCATGACCCAGAATGTCAATGAAGTTAAATGCTATAGGTACATGCAATTTTGTATCTACGTTTTGAATACCAAGGGTGGCAGCTTTCATCACTCTGGATCTGCCCCCGTCCTCATCAATTCATGGAGATCTTGTAGGTATCGTAGCAGGAAAGGGACTTAGACCATATCACTAGTGAGTTTGCCTTAGATAAGGTAAAACGGCTACATTATTTTTCCAACTCTAGTGTCATTAACCTCCAAGTATTTCAGCAGCGGGGGTGATTGTCCGTAAGTCTCCAGCAAACTCTAAAGCACGTGAGACAGAAGGTCACACATAATTCGGCCAGGTTGTTGATTCCCTATTGCCCTGTCATTTATTTACCAGTTCTCACTCTGGCTGTATAGATAGGGTAGGTTATGTGCTTAGTGACTAATGATTGATGTCCAATTACAGTTTATAAAGATAAAGGTCTGCTTAGACCAGTAGTACATTACAAGGCGGTTATTTGAAGTTAGCACATTTTCAAACATCCAGCAGTCAGTAATTATGCAATAATAAAAGAATGCGTTACTATGAACCACTACTGCTGAACGGGTGTTTTTGCAGTTGAATTACCATTTCTTTCACTTTGGGGATCTGAATGCATTTTCTCACTTTGTTCTGTAAATCTTACTCACGCTGTGATCCTTTTTCTTCCTTCTCTCCTTTCTATCTTTGTGATTTCTTCTGTGCTGCCATCTGTGCAAGGAAGCAGTTCTCCATTCCCAGTGATCCTAGACACACCCCCCCCGCCAGTATTTCACCCTGCTCCTGCCAAAATCATTTCTCTCCTACACATTCATTCACACCTATACATTAAAGAAGGCAACACATGTACTAAGAAGAAAATTTCAGAAAGGATTAATAATTTCTCTTTATTCTGTATCTCACCAGTGAATCAGGACTCCCTTAATCTGTTTTGAAGGGCAGAAGGCTGTGGGAAAGGGTCAGTTTGAATTTATGCCATGCAGCATTTAAGCACATGGCCCTCATTTAAAATATTACAAGTCTGTTGAGATATATTATAGTCAGCACCAAAAGCTATAGTTATTTTGAGTTTGTGCTTTTCAGTAAGCCAAAAAGGATGCGCATAGCCATCTACACTTTGTATGCAATGATGTTTACAGCTTCAAGCTTATGTATCTATCTGCCTCCTCAGTCTTAATATACCGTACATAACAACCTGGAAGCCAGCATAAATCTCAGCTTCTGTAGGCTCTCTGCCGATGGAATTAGCTAGTCTAATTTCTATCAGATGCCAGCAGTGTTAAAAGACAAGCTGAACTAAGCTACTTTTCACTGTGTGAACGGTAAGCGTTATATTCGGATGCCCTTAATTCTTCCCCAGTTGCGCTGCCCAGCATTTGCCATTGGCTGTCCCTTGGGCTCGAGATGGGCCACACCAACAGGACGTACTGGGTATCAGGCCGTGCGTGGATTCGAGCTGAGTGGGCATTAGTGTGCTATAAATTCATACTCTCGCTAACTGCTGACCAGCCAAGCCTCTGGATTAAAAATTAATTGAAAATTACTTTGAGAGGAATAATAGGATAGGGTGGGATAGGAAAGGGACTTCTAGTAGATCTAAAACATGCTGCAGAACCTTAAATAGAGAATACCATAAGATAAAGTTTTGATTTATGATGATCCCCTAATGGGATTCTCCAGGGATGGTGTTTGATAGATGAAATAAAGTCACCAAACCCACAGAGTTAAGAAAAATGCTAATGAAATCTGCAGTTAATACCAGCTTGGGAGAATAAAGATGTACCAAAGACAACAAAAACTACAGGCAAAACAACCTAGAGAAAATAGAAGCAGCACAGTATCATGTAGTAGAAGATATGTCCCAATGCTCCCAAGAAGAAATTTCTCCAACAGTCAGCTCACATGGAATTTCCGGGAAACTAGTGAACCTGAAAGAGACCTATGAGTAACAGAGGACAGCAAATAAAACCTGGTCATAGGAGATAAAGTAACAGCAAAACACAAAAGCTGCAGGAGAAGTGAAACTAGTTGTGCTTTTATGGCTTACGGTTGCGTTCCCTGATGTCTCACAATATGCGAAACCAGTCTAAGGCTTCAGCTAGTTGCATTATTCATATTACCTGTTTGCTATGTACGCTCTCCATCAACTAGTATGTGCTGAGGTTATAGTTCAGTAGCACCTTTAATAAGGATTCTCTTTTCTGCCCACTTTCACATATCTGGTAGGAATTTAGTATTTTTGAAAGCTCTGCCTTGGTGTTCAGTTTGACTTACACAGGTCAGGGAAAGGTATTACTTGGAATAAGAAGGCAGACCCAAACATGTATACAGATATGGATATACACACAGAGAAAGAAGAATCAAAGTTAATTAAAAAAAGGGGGGGAGCATTATTTTTAAAGAAGCCAGAGGAAAATATTTTGTCTTCTCTTGGCTTGTTCTCCTTGCCCATGAACGGGCATTTGATACATAGTTGTTACTGTGGTATAAATACAGATCCATTCTCAAATTGGAGCTTGATTCTCCAAATTCTCTTTACATGGAGCTTGATTCAGGCATTTTAGTTACCCATTTGCATTGAAAGATCATGGCCAGTGTCAGCCCATTTTTCCCTCATTGAAAACAATCATCTCACAAATACAAAAAGGGGAAGGAGAAAACTACATGAAAATCTTTTAAAGAACGCTTAAATTGAGATATGCTGTTTATAAGGAAGTCTTTACTAAAAGGCAGAAATTTTTTAAAATATTCCTTTAAAAAAAAGTTTCAAGCTTCCTCTACTTTCTTTTGGGGAAAAAAAAGTATAATATTGCTACCTTTTACAGAGTATTGTGAAGGAAGACTTACTTTATGAATGTCTTTTGCTGCATTTTGAGATTCTGGAGCAAAAGGCATTCTATTTTAAGCACAGTGTACTTACTGTCACTTGATTTTCGTGGCTTGCTTTCCTGACTGACAAGTAAAGCTGCTGCTTTGCTGAAGCAGAGAGCATTTGGAAGCAAAAGTGTATCCTGAATACTGAGGAAGCACTGGAAGTCTAAACACACTGGACTCTAACTTCTATGTTTCTCTTGTTCTATGCCTTGTTGCTGAATACTTTTAAAATTGAAACAAACCTTTCCCCCAGCTCAGTGATAAATTCAGTAGAGAATGTGTTTCTTCCTCTACTCATTTGGCCCTCATTTTCATCACCACTTACCTTCCCCCCGCCCCTTTTTTTTCCTAGCTGTTTTTTTTCCTTCTTCTTTCTAATTGCTTAAGTTTATAATTAGGAATATGGATGCAATACTGGTTCGGTTATAATTCTTAAAAATATAAAAAATGTTTTCCTTTTATTTTCCTCTTGGTATCACAAAGAGCTTGAGCAATCTTTCCATAAATACCAGTACCGTCACGTTCATTGACCACAGCGATGCACAGGTATTAAAAGAAACAGTATTTTACCTTTTTTCAAACCCAGTGATTCCAATGGACGGGCAATATGGCTGGTTGTGAATCTGGCTGTCACACTTGCCTTCTGCCACTCTCTAGTTGGCTGTCATTGACTCTTTCTTTATTACATTATGTATTACCCCCTCCTTTGCTGGCAGTTCCTCTCTTCTCTGTTTGGTCCCTAATACCAACTGCCATATTGTACTGTATTTACTGAGCTGTAACTTAAATCAGCAGACGAATGACATAGCGTTTGGGACACACATACCACGTCAAGTGATTCTGAAACCACCTTTTTGCATGTCAAGCATTCCTGACCGTTGCAGTAGAGAAACCTACTCATTAACATGTTATCAGACAAAGGGAATCGGCTCACTGGGGATAATAGGGAATTGCTCTGTCCAAGCAATTGTTGTCTGGCCAGAAAGCTGCAGCGTCTGGCCCGCAACAGAATAACTTAGAAAAGGACTGTTGTTTCCAAGAAGATGCCATTTGGGTGTATAATACTTGTTAGAGGCTGTCTTTTTGTCTTCTACTTCATCTTTTCATCTTTCATACAGCTGCACAGCGCCCACCTTTCCTTGGCCGCATTCAAAAACCTCATACCTTCCTAGAGCGTCAGCGATACATCTCAAATGCTTCACATGACCAATTCGAATAACCCGACGTGCCACAATTTCCAAAAAGGCGTTATCTGTTTTGAAGCGCCTTCTCTAAGCAGGTCAAGGAGGTGAAGGTGATCCCGCATAACAGAGTCTTCAGGTGCCCCGTAACACCTCAGACCGCCCCGATACGCCGGGGATCACCTCCCTGCACGCACGGCTGCGGCGTCCTGCCGAGGGCAGGGAGGTTTCCTGCTGCCCGAGCTCTTATTTTAATAAGATGAACAAGGCAATTCAGAGGGGAGAGGGGGATTCAACCCACC